ACTTCAGCCTACCGTTATATATAAATATTTCAGATATTTTAGGGGTTTTTCTTAATATCATATATCATATAGCATTAGTTTCTTTAAAATATATATATATATTTTTTTAATACTAAATTTGCACTTTTAAAAAATATATTAATAATTTAGATTTATACTAGATTTATAGATAACACAGCATTGTTAATAGTATTTAAATAATTGTTCTAAAGTCTACATATTTTGTGTATGTTTATGTATTCATTAAAAAAAAAATTTCCATAAATTTTCTGTTGTAATGTTGTTTCTTCTTGGTTCCAATATAATTTTTTTCTGTTTACTAATTATTTCTTTTTAATCAGTGATTATACTCTGATTAAAATGAAAAAAATCCATAAGGAAGAAATAGTTGAATACTGCCATCAGATCTCAATTTGATCATTAATTAATATATGTACAGTACATATATATTTATAATCCGTGCAGTTTAAGCAAAACACAAATATTCATTAATTTACTCACAAATTTACATTACTTAGTTACATAGAAAAATTTTTTTGCATTTAAATTACATAGAAATAACTTATTATAGTATTTTGCTTTAGATTTAGGTTTTCTAAGATTACTTATTTTAACAAATTATTTTTACTACATTTATAAATTTATAATCTCTGTTTTATTTGTAAACTTAATGCTCATCTTTAATTGATATTTTTATTACTTTTTTTAATGCATATCACTGTTATAAACACAAATGTAGAAATAATAGTAATAATAATAATATAATATCTTATATTTATATAAAAGTATCAGTGAAATTTTAAAATAAATGTTTTTTACATTCAAAAAAAAACAAAAAAGTAAATATTTATTGAATACAAGTTGAATAACAAAATTGAAAAAAGAAACAATTAAAGTACATTTAGATGTTGTCTCAATTTAATTAGCTAACACTTTTACATTTATTGGTGATGTGCAAACAAAAATAATATATATCTAAAGCAAAATACTACATTAGCGACTGATACTGTGACTTTCAGGATTTAATTTTCAAAAATAAAACATTCTAAATAATCTTAACTTTATAAAAAAATTATAATGGAGTGAATTTAATATTATTTCTTGCTTTTAGCTTAAAAAGTTTTAAAAACAACAGGAACATTTTTGGTTTTTTAAAAGTTTTCAAGCTAAAAAGCAACAAATAATCGTAACCTTATCATATAAGTTAGTTTTAAGAAATTATGGATTTTATCCAAGGAATATTTTAAATGCAAATTTTAAAATATTGGTTAACATTGCTTTTAACAAATCAACTAATTTAATAATACTTTTATTAATAATGAAAGGAAGAACTATTAAATGTGTAAGCATGTAAATTAAGAAGTAAATGTGAAAATGATGTTTTGATTATTATTAGCATTGCCATAGAATGATATAGATAGATATATGCATATTGGTAATTGATTAAATATTGATCTGAAAAATAATGAGACAAAATGTACAGAATATTTTTTGGGGCTTAATACACTTTTTAAAAATTCATCTATCATAAGAGTACAAATAAATCAAAAATAAACATATACTTTTACTTCCGAACAATTAAATTTCATTTTATATTCTACATAAAGTTTTATTCATAAATGACAAATAAATTTAAAAATTAAATTTGTCATGTACACAAAAGAAATACAGTACAGAAACATCATACTGATGTTCTTATACTTCTAATATTTGAATATATATACAAATATATATAATAAATATTATAGTAAACATCATATTTATTTGTGCTACAGTTCATCAACTACATGGATCAGAAGCATTTGACATTAATGTAGATTTCATATAAAAAGATGCCACAGAGAATTTATTTCTCAAGAAAATTGAAAAGGAAATTGTAAGTTTTAAGGATGCAGACATTTTACCTTATATGAACTTAATGTGTTTCTTGAAAAAATTACAGTTTAATGATAAACTTAGTTTTTTCATGTTTCTAGTTTATTTTAGTATTATTTTCAATCTTTGTTCAAATAAACCATTTGTATTTATTTACTGAACAAATTGCTGATATATATATAAAAGCAATTTGCTCAGTATAGTTTTTAACAAAGCTTTATATTCTTTCATTAGTGTTTTGATAAATATAAACAAAATAACTATTCTTATTAAATTATGAATTATGAACCCATATGAGAGATTTTACAATTTAGTTTGCATTTTTTTCATTTAAATATGTAATTCTTAAATAATATAAATATCTGTATATGCATAATTGTAACTTAAATTTTTTCATACAAAATAATTATAAATTTAATTATTTATAGTAGTGTTTTTTAACCTTCTTGAATTTACAACCCCTTTACCCTTCTGGTGACCCCCCCAAGACCATATTAAAACTATATCCTCAATTTTAAAAACTACGTATTTAATTTTCTTTCTGTTGAGACCTAAATATTATAGTTTTTGATTCATATTTACAAAAGTTAAATTACATAAGAGTTTATCACACCAATCTAACACTTTTTAAAAATTCTTTAAATTGTGTACAGTAAACGAATAAAGAATTTTTAAAATGTGTTAGCTTGGTCATTCAGTGTGATAAACCCTTAAGTAAGATAACCTTTGTAGTTACATAAATCAAATACTATAATATAACAAACATTAAAATGAAAACCATACAAGGAGTTTGATTACTTCAGCCTACCGTTGTCACATTTATCGGGATACTCTGATGGTACGAAATGGCATAATTTCATTGGTCAAGTAAACATCAATTGAAAATACAATATCTTAAATTTTTTAAGATATCATATTTTTTCTAATGTTAACTCTAAGAAACTCTACCGTTCACAGCCAAATATAAAACGGTAATTGCCAATGAATCAAATTTCATAAAAAACAGACCAAATATTTAAACTTTGCACCCTCAAAAATTACTTAAATCATATTTTGTGCTTGCCAGTAACATTGTATTATGTAATTTTGCTATTCGAATGCCACCATATCACTAGGAAGAAGTGAGTGTTGTGGCAGGGGGTTGGGGTAAATTCAATCAAATGTTTTTAACATCTTAAAAAATTAAAATTAATCTATATATATATAAAAATGGACATGTGTGTCCCTATATTTCACTTTTCCGCCAAAACTACACATCGCACATGAATGGTGTTTGTATGTGGTAGTAGCCCCAAGTCTCCATTCGTGCACTATGGTGGTTGCGTCTCGATAGCTATAAGGGTGCGTGAGATATGGGGCTGAAAGTGGTTTTCTATTTCGAATTTTATGTTCGAATTTGTTCGAATTTAATTCAAACAATATTCGAATTTGAATACGAACATAAAATTCAAATATTGGTTCGATTATAGAATGATTGTAAACGTTCCAGAAACATTGAAAATAGTTTGTTTGACTGGACGTGAACAGGAGACGTTCAGAAATAGAATCGGAACCAGGTCTCTAATTAGTCTGGAAACGGGGAACCTAATTCTTGCATTCTGTGAAAACGGGTAAGATTGGCTATAATGTAATTTATCTTAATTACTTGCCGCGCGAATGTTTTTAAAGGAATTTTTAATTAAACTTAAAAAATACTTAAAACTGAAAAAAACGAAAGAAATGCATTAATTTTGAAGAAAAAGCTTCAAACTTTATTTTCCATTGTCTCGCCTTTCTGCGAAATTTGACACCGATGAGTCATTGTTTACACAGCTGGATGACCTTGAGAACAGCTGGTGTCGTATTTCCCGGGACATTCTCATAGACGTCTCGGGAGGAGAAGGGTTTAAAGTAGGGTGAATACTAGCTAGACCTATTATTTTTAAATATTTTTAAAAAATTAAAATTTTTATTGCGACTCTGACTTAATTAAACTTATATATAATAAAATATATTAATTAAAAAAATTAAACTATTGGAGGTCGTATTTGACATTAGAAAGTAGCTTTAAATAACCTTACCGAAGTCAAATCCGTGCACTACAACTTTAGAACGATTAATTAATTTTGATAAAAATATCCCATTAAAAAACAATTAAGCCTTAATCGAACCTTATCAAAGGCTAATTAAAATCGTGATAAAATTTTTTTGCGTGGGTAAAAATTTTTGAAAAAATTTGGAGACTTAAAAAACATTCCAAAAATTTTTTGGGGGCTGAAAGGACCACATTTTCTGTAACGCTATGTAACATGCCCGAGTTAAATCTTCACTATCGTTACTTTTTGCCCACAAATA